ATTTAGACGATCTCTTCATCCTGGATTGTATGTATTTGAGTATGGATTATTTTCGGGACGAGAGAAGATGACATTGGCCTGTTCTTGTGTACCTCCATAAAATTGCTCCGGTGTGGGGCTGTAATACCCCTATTTTCCAAAAGGATAAAATTGAAATTTAAAGTTTATTTTTGTGCATTTTTAATTGATTTTGTGTCTATTTGTGTATGTGTTTAATTGTTTTATTTTTATTTGATTTAATTGTTCATTGTGTATTTAAATTTGCTTTATTTGATTAATTAGTCTATTTAATTTAATTGCGGTTAGTTGCTTTATTTTTATTTTATCCTATTGGATAGGTTGGATTACATGGGTATGATTAATACTCATGTTTTTATATTCATGTATTTATGGGGATATATGTATTTTTGGGTTAATTTAATTATTAGGAATTATTAATAATTAAATTAGAATTAATTATTATTAAATGAATATTATAATTTTAGGGTTTCGTTTAATCTCATGAGTTAGCCGACTTAGTATGGTTGTATTTTTCCCGTCTCCTTTTAGAATTAGAATTAGGTTTTCTTTAAGCCTATATAAATACAACAATAGGTCGTCTTAGGGTTTTGAAAAATAAACACAGACCCTATTCACGTATATAAGGGTTTATTTTACAGAGAGCTTTTAGAGTGAAAACAGAGTAGGTTGTGAGAAAAACAGAGAGGGTACAGTCGGGGTTTTCGGCTGTGGATCAATGGAGGGACCTAGGAGAAGGGAAGGTGGAATAGTAGGAAGTTGAGTTGACAGTAGATAGACATCGTCGGAAAAGCTTAGAAGGACGGCGATAAGGTTTTGGTTACAAAACTGTACAGGCAAGTTCTATTCTGTCTCTCTCCCTTTGGCCTGTGTTCTGTGCATTCTTAGATGTTCTTTAGGGTCTTAAACGGATATTAAATGGATCATGCATGCTTAGTATAGATTAAATTAATTATTTGTATTTGTTGAAATTAAACTGAAAGTGTTCTTGCAAGATTTGTTTCACTTTTAAATCTTTGAGCATGTTGAAACGGTAATTGTTTTGATTGTTCTGTTAATACAAATTATGGTAAACAAAGGACTGTAATTGATAATTGGATATTAATGGAATATTACATGCTTAACAAATGATTAATTACTCGTCTGTATATATTTAGCTTAAACTGTAATGGTTTCTGAAAGTTGAAATATGTTGCCTGTTGTTAAACGTAATTAAATCGGCAAGGGTTTTTATGGTTCTTTTTGATGCAAACTAGTTGGAATGAATAACTGTGATATTACTGGATGCATATTAGACTCCTAAGGTCAATATAAATGAAGAACGAAGGGGTTGGAATCAGCCGGAAACGAAGAAGACGAAGCCGAAACTGAACAAGGTTCAGAGAGGGAGAGAGCTGGCCCCATAAAAGAGGAAGCCAGCTCCCTCAAAGTGCAGAGCTGGCTTTGGGGAGTCAAGAGCCGGCTCCTAGCTCTCAAGAGCCTGCTCTTCCATGTAGGGAGGCAGCTCCAGGCTAAAAGAGCCTGCTCCCAAGAATTAGAGCAAGCCCTCTCTTCAGTTTTGACATTCTGATGTTTTTGAGCTTGGGAACTATTTTGATTATTCTGGGACTTTACAGAGTGATTAAGAAGTTAATTTTGGGTGCTAATAGGACTTTTAATTGATTAAAGTTTATCTCTAAATTAACGGAACAAACTGTATAAAATTTATGCACATTGTATACGGTTAATGGATGGATGAAGACTTAATTGCTGAAGCTTATTTTTGGGCATTCCAGTGGGATCTAATATGTTTATAAAATTATTCTAAATACATTATAGTCATTGATGTATCAAATTTGATCTATGCATACCTTGGAGGTTAGTTGTTGAAATACTAAATTGTTTTCTGCAATACATGGATTTAAGCTTGGATTTTAATTGCTGTAATATTAAGCACTATTCTGTAATTATTTGAATTATGGTTTGGACTTAAATTGTTGAACTAACACTTAGGTTCTGTCAACCATATGGATGTTGGCCTGGATTTAATTGAAGAACTAATTATATATTTTCTGTCAATAACATGGAGGTTAGTCTGGATTTTAAATTGACGAACGATCAAGCATTGTTTCTTCAATTCCATGGATTTTATTGTGGATTATGAGTTGATGAATTGTTAAATTCTGTATAAAAAATATATGGATTATGTGGACTTAATTTGATGTACTGCTTAAAATGTTGCATCATTTACGGATCATTTGCATGGTATGCACAGGTATGGGACGGTGGCATACAGAGGGACGGATTAGGTCACAACGCTAATTCCTACCCATTCATACATACGGAATGGATTAACTAAAACAGTTAAATCCTACATGGTTTCATGTCCTGTCAACTAAAACAATTGAATGACATATTGGATGGTTGTTGATGTTTCTACAATAGGAAGGATAGGGATTTAATTAAAGCATTTAAATCCTAATTATATGTTGTGTTTTGGCGACGAAGTTGACCGGCTCAACATTGTATTTGGATGGAATTTATATACATATAATTTATGTTAGTCTGTGCGGCTGAATAAGCTGAACGACTAACTGGTTTTCTTATGGTTGGATAGGATCGGAATTTATATATATATGTATGGTACCGCGATATGAGTTTGAGTCTCAAAATCGTCGGTTAGGGAGCGTATATGCAGTAGGATGCGTAGCTGGCTGTGGTGGTTGAGGTATACCCTATTAGGCATAGGTAATCATGCCTACTCAAGTGCGTTTTGCATGTTGCCTTCTATTCAGGTTGAGACCCTCATCATAGTCCAGTGAGAGTCATGTAGTGTGGATATATATATATATATATATATATATATATATATATGTGTGTGTGTGTGTACGGACTATATAGATATGGTTGAGACATCTAGGATGTATCTGCATATCGAGTCTCTGTTTGAATTGTAATTAGGATAGAACTTGTTCGTGGGCCTGACCCACTATTATTTTTTAGGTAACGGACGGTTCCAGGTCTTAGAGCTTATTCATGCTGAGCAGAGACGGCTACTCATTCTACCGACAAAGTAGGAGGTTTCTTCATGGTTTAGCATTGGACTTCTTTTTGGTTGTTCGTTTTCTAGTGTTGGTTTTTATTAGGAGTCCACCAGATGGATTCCTGAGTTGTATTAAAAATAGAGAAGTTGGATGTATCAGAATAATTTTTCTTATTTATAAAATTTTATTCTGAGGTTTCAGTTTTGGATTATCTTCTTAGTTTCTTTTCAGCAATTTTATTTATTCCTATTTATCTTAATTTTATTCTGTGTTCATTTATTGCAAATTGGTTTGATATTCTCGGGTAATCGGGCGTGGGCTTGGCCAACCCGCATTCATAAATCCGGGAGTATCACATGGGCAATCTTCTTCAAGAGGGAAAGTGTTTGTGTAAGATGCACATATAACACTTGATGAAGTATTTTGAGAAAGAGAAGAGGAAATATGAGGTGCCACTAATTGAAAGACTTTGTAGGCTATAGCATCCACTTGAGAAGATTCTTTGCTCAAAGTCCGTAGTTGACATGGATTTGCTATTTTTCCAACATTAGAAGTAGGAGCCTTATGAGAAGTATGTTGCATGGAATTATTGCTTATATTCTCAAGTAGGGTCCAAGCTTCATCTACAATTTTAGACATAAACATACCTCCACAGGAAGAGTCAATGAGCTGTCTATGTGGTTCGGTTAAACCATCATAGAAGGCTTGCACCAATTATCATTTGGGAACTTGGTGGTACGGACACTTCCTAAGAAGATTTTGGAGTCTCTCCCATGTTTCATAAAATTGTTCCCCATCTATTTGGGAGAAACTAAGAATGGAACGACACATTTAGTTGGTTTTCCCCACATGATAGTATTTTTTTTAGGAATTCTTGTTTCAATTGTTCCCAAGTGGTGATAAATTTGCAAACAATGAGTTTAACCAATATTTTGCCTTATCTTTCAATGAGAACGGGAATAGATGCATATAGAGTGGTTATTGAGGGAATTCCCTCATCTTTATGGTGGAACATTTTTCAAGGAACTCATTAAGATGTTTATAAGGATCTTTATTGTCAAATCCATTATAGGATGTAAGCATTTGGATAGTGCTGGATTTGATTTCATAATGATGTGCATCAATGTCGGGCATTACAATGCACGATGGAAAAGTATATGTTGAAGGGATGAAATGGCCTCTAAGAGTCATTGGTGCTACATTTGCATTTTCAGCTATGTCATTATTTTCAAGATTTTCAGCTGACGAATGTAGAATTATGGATTCTGTCGTTGTTTTTCTACACTTCGTGCAAAAATAAGAAAAACCTGCAAAAACTAAATTAAAGATGGTATAGAATAAACAGGGTCGAACCATACAAGATTTAAACTCATGAATCAAAATTGAAACCAAAATTTAAGAAATAATAACTTTTAAAACAACTTAATGATTTATTACTAATAAACTACAAATAAAATAAATAAATAAGATGAAATAAATTCTAATCAACTAATAGGAAAAATCTCAAGGAAAGAATCTACCACCACAGCTTACTATAAAGAAATTAGTATATTTCTATGTATGTAAATTTTCCTATTGTAAGCAAATCACTCCACCAGTCCAATTACAACTTGGAAAGATGAAGGAAAATAATAGCGTGAAATAATAATTGCTTGAGAACATATTTTACTTAATCTAATATATCTTTGGTAAATAGAAATAGGCATTCTCTGAATTACCATTAATTGGCAAACACGAAGAATCCTCTTTCTAATTTTTTTATCAAAATAAGAACATAGAATAGAAGAGTAAAATAATGCTCTAAAGAGAAAATTTCATAAAGGAATTAAACTAAATTTACTTATATTTCAGCCATGGTGGCTTCATCACTCCCTTAAGAAGGGGTGTTTAAGCTAGCATAATAAGAAACAAAATAAAGAAATAAAAATAATCTTCATAACAAAAATTATAAGAAATAAATTGAACACAAAAATTCTCTAACTTTTATTATTTTCTATCACTCACAATGTACATCTTTCCTCCTCTACATATGTCCCTATTTATAGAGTTTAGAATGGAACTGATCAGGAGGAAAAAATTCTAATTATAGAAGTAAAAATAAAATAAAATAAAATAAATCTTCCTAAAATCTTGCTGCCTTCCAATTTGGCTTGATATCTTTGACTTGACGTGCTTTCCAATCTGTCTTGATATATTTTCAATTTGGCTTGATCTTTGCTGATTTGATGGAAAGTCAAATTTGAATTTGACTGATCGTATAATCTCATAAACTTGTTATTTTTGTCTCTTTTCTTCTAATTCTGAAATCAGCCCCTATAAAACATGAAAAGCAGGGATAAGAACATTTATCTAATAAAAAATATTAATTAATCATTTATTATTAAGTATAAAATAACAATTTTTGTGTACTTATCAAATTACCCCTAAACAAGCTTTTGCTAGTCCTCTAGTAATTAAAGGCAAAAAAAGATAAGTTTACAAAATTGTTACTTTAATTGACTCCTAACTAAAAATGTGCCAATTTCGTAGGTTACTTTCAATTGCTTTACCATATACAATAAGACCTTAAACCCCTAGGTTACCCTAATGGACGAGCTATAGCCTCGTGAGGGTTTCCAGATATGATACCCACAAACATCCAAAATTGTGCACACTTTGCACTTAGCTCAATTACTTCAATGGAATCAGAAACGATTGCATACACATCATCATCAAGTTAGCTATTACGTCAAGTATAAGAAAGATTAATATTCTCATGCAATCACAAACCTCTAATTACATGCAATAATACTATGGTCCCCACACAAAGTTTAATTCAACATATTTCCAGTAACAATCAATCCCTAGTTTCCTTTTGAAGTGAACTAGCATCCAATTATGTGTTTTTACCCTTTTGTCCTTATATTACACATCACAATAGCTTCAACTCATTAATATTCCCTTCCAAGTTAGAGTACCCAAGGCATGAATTCATGATTTTACTTTTGCATGTGAATTTTTCTTTCTTTCTTCCATTTATTTTTTATTTTTTATTTTTATTTTTTTCCCCTTTGAAGATGACCCATGTAACGAGCTTTAAGCTAATGACTCCCAACCAGACGGTTTTAGGGCATTAGGTGTAAAGACACCCCAAAGAGCTTATTAACTCAAGTCAACTAGGCTTCGAACCTAAACCAACACATTCATTTTTTCCTAACCCTCCACTTTTTTACGCGAACACTCACTACTTACTGAGGCAAGAGGCCCAGTTACTTTATGAAAGGTATTAACTAATCATGCATATTTCTCTATCATCATGCCAAGGACATCTACTTTTCAAGGTCTACTAACTCGTATCCAACACATGTAATATATCACATAAGGTGAGGCCTATGCCCCACAAAAAGATACTAGTGTGCATCTGTGAGAAGTGAAGTACACTCGGGACTAATTATCATTAACAATAGTCAAACTGGACAATGATGTGGATCACATATACCAAAACATGAATTAAAGATTCAAAACTGCCCTAAAATACCAATTCCCAATCATACATGAACAATAATTCACCCAAATTGGACATGACATGCAATTTAACTTATAATTTCCATAGAAGCAAAAGCATTGCCCCACCCCTAAACAAAATACAACATTGTCCCTAGTGTTGGCACCAAAGAATATGGAAATTAAATGGACAAGTATAGGTGGAGACATATAGGGAAACATTAGAACATATTACCTCACTGGTTTTGATGTGGAGTACAATTTCTGCAAAAGAGGTTATGAAAAACAATTGAAAACCATATCAGATAAATATAGCACCTCCAAACAAAATATAACCATATTCAAATACTAAACAGTTACGGAGCTAACGAGTAGGAATGAGATACAACTTGTTAAGACTCGAAAATCAATCCAAGGTAACTGAATAGACACAACCGGCTAGGTTACCTCCCAGGAGTGCTAAGTTTAACGTCTTGAGCCAGACGTAATGGGGGAAATTCCCCCAAAAGAGATTAGTGCGAATAGACTGGATTGAAGAGGAAAATTTCTTCAATGACGTGAGCCTCAAGCTCAAGGAAAGGCTTTAAACGATAATCATTGACTTTAAACAGCTTTCCAGTTTTGGGATCTTGTACCTCAATTGCACTATGACTAGCAACATGGTGTACATAATATGGACCAGACTATCGTGACCTCAACTTCCCAGGAAACAATGCAAGACGGGAGTTATACAAAAGAACCTTTTGGCCTTGGAAAAACTAATTTCTTAAAATTTGTTTATCATGTTCCAATTTAGTCTTAGATTTATAAATCCTCGAACTCTCATAGGCATCATTTCTGAGTTCTTCCAACTTATTAAGTTGAAGTGTCCTGCGCTCACCGGCATGATCGTAATCAAAGTTCATGGCCTTGATGGCCCAATAAGCACGATATTCCAGTTTGACAGGCAAGTGGCAAGCTTTGCCATAGACTAATTGGTATGGAGACATTCCTATAGGGGTCTTATAAGCAGTATGATATGCCCATAAAGCATCATGGGGTGGAGACTCCAGTCCTTTCTTGTGGGTTTAACCGTTTTCTTTAAGATATGCTTGATCTCCCTATTGGAAACCTCAACCTGACCATTGGTTTGTGGGTGGTAAGATAGGGCTACCTTATGGGTGATCCCATATTTGGACATTAGGCTAGCAAAGACTTTGTTGCAGAAATGTGAACCATTATCACTGATTATGGCTCGAGGTGTACCAAAGCGAGACAAAATTAAGTCTTTTAAGAATTTCACCACAACCCTATGCTCGGCTATCTCGGTGGCTAAGGCTTCTACCCATTTGGACATATAATCAACGGCCAGAAGGATGTAAGTATACCCATATGAAGAGATAAAGGGTCCCATGAAGTCAATACCCCAAACATTAAAGATTTCAACCACTAGTATGGATGTCCTTAAAAAGGGTGGGCCAATAAAAGCCTGATTGTAAGATTTTTGCAGCAGTCCGTTTAGAGCTAAAATGGCCACCACAGGCCTGATCATGACCAAATGAAATGATGGACTCTTGGTTTACCTCGGGGATACCTACGGATGATTTAATCTTGACAATACTTAAACAGGTAGGGGTCATCCCAAAAATATTCCTTAACTTTAGCTAGGAATTTATCTCTCTCTTGCTTGGACCAAGTAGAAGGGGTTTGACTTGTGACAATGTAATTGACAATATTGGCATACCATGGTGCAAGAGATACTGCAAAAAGTTGCTCACCAAGTAAATAATCAGAGATGGGAAGAGAATTGCTAATCGAATCAACAACTAGACGAGACAAATGATTAGCGACTACATTCGCAAAGCCTTTCTTATCACGGATTTCAAGGTCAAATTCTTAAAGGAGTAAGATCCATTGGATCAACCTAAGTTTGGCATCTTTCTTGGAAAGAAGATGCCTCAACGCAGCATGATCGGTATAAATGATGACCTTAGATCCTATCAAATAAGAGCGAAGTTTGTCAAAGGAGAACACTACCGCCAACAATTCTTTCTCAGTGATTGAGTTGTTGAATGGGGCATCATTCAGGGTCTTACTAGCATAGTAGATGACATAGGGTGCTTTATCAACTCTTTGCCCTAAAACAACCCCGACTGCATAATCTGACGCATCACATATGATCTTAAAAGATAGGCTCTAATCAGGTGACCGGATTATGGGTACAGTAGTGAGGGTGGATTTTAATTGCTCAAAAGCAGAGTGACAAGCATCGGTAAACTCAAATAGGGCATCCTTAGCTAGAAGATGGGTCAAAGGTTGTGCTATCTTACTGAAGTCTTGGAAGAAATGCCTATAGAAACCAGCATGACCTAGGAAAGCCCAAATGTCGCGAACAGTTTTGGGAATGGGTAAATTGGAGATAAGATCAATTTTTACTTTATCTACCTCGATTCCGACACTAGAGATGGTATGACTTAGGACAATTCCTTTTTGGACCATGAAATGACTTTTTTCCCAATTAAGAACGAGGTTAGTATCACGACAACGCTAAAACACGAGAGTAAGATGGTGTAGACATTGTTCAAATGACGAGCCAAAGACAGAGAAGTCATCTATGAAAATTTCTAAAAACTTATCAACCATGTCACTAAAGATACTCATCATGCATCACTGGAATGTAGCAGGTGCATTGCACAAACCAAATGGCATACGATGATAAGCGAATGTACCAAATGGGCAGGTGAAAGTTGTCTTGTGTTGGTCATCAGGGTGGACAGGGATTTGATTATAGCCAGAATAACCATCTAAGAAGTAATAGAATGACTGACCGGCCAATTTCTCTAACATTTGGTTAATAAATGGTAGAGGAAAATGAGCCTTCCAAGTTACACTATTGTGCTTTCGATAATCGATGCAAACTCGCCACCCTATTTGGACACAAGTAGGAACTGACTCATTACGATCATTGGGAACGACAGTAATGCCGGACTTCTTGGGAACCACTTGGACTGGACTTACCCACTGGCTATCAAAGATTGGATATATGATACCGGCATCAAGGAGTTTATAACTTCTGTACGGACAACTTCTTTTAAGTTAGGATTCAGTCTCCTCTGGGGTTGCCTACAGGTTTTAGTATCGTTATCCAAATGAATACGATGTTGCACTACTAAAGGACTAATGCCTTTGATATCATCAATAGGCCAACCTTGGCTTCTTTATTCGCCCTAAACACCTCAAGTAGCTGGGTCTCCTGGTTGTGGGTTAGGTCAGAGGCTATCACCACAGGAAAAGTATCAGATTCACCTAGGTAAGAGTATTTTAAAGTCTCAAGGAGAGGCTTTAATTCAACCTTAGGGGACTCTTTCACTGTTTCAAATTTAGGGTTATTTGGTGAAGACAATGATTCAAAGTGGAATCGGTACTTGGTTGTGTCAAAGATTGGAGTGGAATCTAACAAGGCATTAACCTCACCAATATAATTATCCTCATCAAAATCAGCACCAAAATGTGCTAGACACTGGTGGAGTGGATCTTCATGGTAGGATTGCTCAAAGGTTTTAGCGGTCAATGACTCAACGAGACAAACTTCTTCAATAGAATCTAAGTCGGGGGGTTGTTTCATCAAACTAAACACATTTACTTCCACTTTCACATTTCCAAAGGTTAAGGTCATGTTCCCATTTCTATAATAAATCAATGCATTGGCGGTAGCTAAGAATGGTCGACCTAAAATGATGGGAATCTGTTTACCTTGAGTAGGTTGGGTGTCTAGAACAATGAAGTCGATTGGATAATAAAAATTTGCCACTTTGACAATCACATCCTCAATGATACCCCTTGGAATCTTAACTGATCGATCAGCTAATTGGATTCTAACATTGGTTTTTCTCAAATTGTTTAATCCTAACTCTTGGTACACAGAATAAGGTAACAAGTTCACACTAGCACCTAAATCCAACAGGGCCTGGTCAGCAAAAATTTCACCAATCCTACAAGTGATAGTCGGACTACCAGGGTCTTTATGTTTGACCACAACTTGGTTTTGGAGGAATGAGGAACAATGTTAGGCGATGAAGGCTTCCTTCGGGATGTTGGTTTTCCTCTTGACTAAGTCTTTGATGAACTTTGCATAAGAAGAAATTTGCTTAACGGCAGTGAGAAATGGAATATTAATCTAAAGATTTTGAAAAATTTCTAAGATCTCACTATATTGCGAATCCTTTTTATTGGTAACCAGTCGGGAAAGGAAAGGTGCCGGTGGAACATATGGCGGAAGAGTATGAGTATCAATTTGAGAATCTTGGTCCTTTTTGGCTTTTGGAGGGTTTGATGGACGAGACTCTGATGGTTCAGGTTCATGTTGAGTGGGTAGCTCAACCTTATTATCAATTTGTTTCCCTGACCTAAGCGTGATTATGGAATTCACATGGCCATTTGATTGGTCAGTGGAAGAAGAAGTTTCAATGTGATAAACCCCTTTAGCTTGAGGCAACTGATTTTGCATTGACTGTTGGAATTGCAGTTGGTTCTGAGTCAAAAGGTCAAAGTGACTTTCTAACTTTTGAATTCTCTGATTAGAGTGCTTATTTGATTGGTCGAGATTAAGGGCAAGCATCTTCAGAGTATCCTCATAATTGGAAACATGTTGGTTTTGTGGGACAAAAGGAACATAATTGCTCATTGGATCAAGTGCGAGATCACGATTGTTACTCAACTGGGTGTTCGTTGGGAACTGACTTTGAGGAACAGGCAAACCTTAAGATTGAGGTGGCCTATTGGATTTACCTTGGAAACCGGGTTAACCACCTAAGTTTTGGGGAGGCAAATTTTGTCGCCAAGAAAAATTAGGATGGTTTCTAGTATCAGGATGGTAAGTTTGACTAAAGGTATTAGTTGTCGATCTCCTATAGGTATTAAAGGCACACATTGGAGCATCGGAAGGTTCAGAGGTAGAATAGACAGGACATGCTTCAGTAAGATGAGATGAACTAGAACACACATTGCATTGCGCATTTGTGGACATGAGTGCAAAAGAATCAAGTTTTTTGGTCAAGTCTTTTACTCCTTCAATTAGAGCATTTAGTTAGACTGTACAAATAAGGTACTTACCTGAAAGATAAAACAATGGTTTGTTGTGTTTCCACGTTCTCCAATAAGAATATCCAAGTGTTGAATGCTCCCATCCAAGTGTTGAATGCTCCCAAATTAGCCCACCATCCGAATCAACAAGCTGATTTTTTTTTATTTTTTATTTTTTATTTTTCAAACTAGTTTATTGAATGAACTAGTAGTGTCTGCACAACTGGTTCAGTTCTGTTCGGATTCCAGAATTGGGATAGTGCTGTGTCCGTAGGCAAACAAGCCAAATATGGGACTATATATATATATATATATATATACCCAATTATAGCAACACAAACAGCCGCTAAATACCCAGCAATGACCAGAGAAACTCCTAGCGATGACAGCGACCACTCCGATGACGGCGGCAAACTGTGAAAACTCCGGTAGAAACAAAGATGAGGAGGCTGGGATTGTGCCTGGAGGACAGCGGCCAAGATTCCAGTAGGATTTTCGGCGAGCAAGAAGGACTGAATGGCGGCGTTACACCGGCGAGATGGGTGGCACAGGTTCGGCGACAAAAATCGGCAATTCCGCCGGCAACAGTGAAGTGGTGAACAGTGTGGATCTTGTAGGTACTCCTACAGAGAAGAAAATGGAACGTAAAGAAAAATAAAAAGAAAATTATAGAGAAGAAGATAGAACAAAAAGAAAAATAAAAAGAAAAGTAAAATACAAAAGAAAAAATATCAAACTGATTGTGGTAATGAGAGGACCACGAGAGCTTTTTATATTTTCATTTTATTTTTTTATTTTTTAAATCCAAATGCCTACCAACCTAAAAGAAAGAACAATAAAAAGAAGAATTAAAAAGGAAAGGGAGCTAAGGATAGAAAGTTTTGGTGGGTTCCCAAAATTTTTAGTTTTGGAGGCTTATTCTTCGAGTTCTCAAACTTGATGCGGCAACGGCGCCATCTGACATGTGTAGAATTATGGATTCTGTTGTTGTTTTTCTACACTTCGTGCAAAAACTAAATTAAGGATGGTATAGAATAAATAGGGTCGAACCATACAAGATTTAAACTGTGAATCAAAATTAAAACCAAAATTTAAGGAAGAATAACTTTTAAAACAATTTAATGATTTATTACTAATAAACTAAAACTAAAATAAATAAATAAATAAGATGAAAAAAATTCTGATCAACTAATAGGAAAAATCTCAAGGAAAGAATTCACCACCATAGCTTATTATAAATAAATTAGTATATTTCTATGTATGTAAATTTTCTTATTGTAAGCAAATCACTCCACCAGTCCAATTACAACTTGGAAAGATGAAAAAAAATAATAGCGTGAAATAATAATTGCTTGAGAACATATTTTACTTAATCTGATATATCTTTGATAAATAGAAATAAGCATTCTCCAAATTACTATTAATTGGCAAACACGAAGAATCCTCTTTCTAATTTTTTTTTTTTTATCAAAATAAGAACACAGAATAGAAGAGTAAAATAATGCTCTAAAGAGAAAATTTCATAAAAGAATTAAACTAAATTTACTTATATTTCAGCCATGGTGGCTTCATTACTCCCTTGAGAAGGGGTGTTTAAGATAGCATAATAAGAAAACAAAATAAAGAAATAAAAATAATCTTCATAACAAAAATTATAAGAAATAAATTGAACACAAAAATTCTCTAACTTTTATTATTTTCTATCACTCACAATGGAAATCTCTCATCTTCTACATATGTCCCTATTTATAGAGTTTAAAATGGAACGATCGGGAGGAAAAAATTCTAATTATAGAAGTGAAAATAAAATAAAATAAAATAAAATCTTCCTAAAATCTTGCTGCTTTCCAATTTGGCTTGATATCTTTGACTTGACGTGCTTTCCAATTTGTCTTGATATATTTTCAATTTGGCTTGATCTTTGTTGATTTGATGGAAAGTCAAATTTGAATTTGACTGATCGTATAATCTCATAAACTTGTTATTTTTGTCTCTTTTATTCTCATTCTGAAATCAGCCCCTACAAAATATGAAAAGTAGGGATAAGAACATCTATCTAATAAAAAATATTAATTAATCATTTATTATTAAGTATAAAATAACAATTTTTGTGCACTTATCATCAGCCATGTTGTTATCTTCAATTTTAAGTTTTCCTACAAGTTCAGGATCCCTAAGGTTCCTTCTTTGTTGTCTAAGAGTTCTTTTAAGTGAAGTTATATCAACGTGTTTTTCAAGAATTGGTAATGACAATGATTTACGACCCACCATCAACTAACATATACCCAATTAAAATAGATACAAACGAAACTTCAAGTGTAAATAAAATCAGCTTTAAAAACTCACATAGGGTCCAAATTTTCAGAATTTCCATAATTTTTTCGTTGCCGCAAAACAACCCTTTGTGCAAACACATGCACTCAAAAACTCCAAACCAAGTCAAAAACAAAAAAATATACAAAAATCTAAACCACGAATCAAACTGAATTTAATCTTTAAGTCTTAATCATAAAGCTGTTTGCAATCCTCGGCAACGACGCCAAAAATTGTTGTGCACTAAGTGTATCAATTATAAATACCACTCACCCTAGCACAAGTTCTTGTTGAAAATGGCTAAATAAGGGTTATCAATACATGAAGATTGCTAGCTTATGACAAACAAGACTATAAGATTACTCCCAAGTTGATTAAAGATTGTTTAATTAATGATGGTTTGTCACTTTGCATAAACTGAAATTAATGCTTAAAAGCATAATTTAAATTGAATGCAAAGAGATAGTATGAATGGAGACTAGGAGAATGACTTCACCACAACCCTTATAACCATAACACATTGCATCTAATATAGGGGAAAATCAGATTTTACATAACTATGACTCATGAGGTATAAAACACACAATGAATCCTTTAAGAAGATAAAACGCATATACAATCTAAAACTAAGCATATCCCATCTTCGATAAGCACAAACCGTTTACCTAACTATGCTAATCTAATGTGTAGCACGGTCCGTTTTCTCTAGGCATGGCATATCAAAACCTTAAACTTGCATATTATGAAAACTATTGTATAATTCATATACTTATTGTTACTATAAGAATGCTTAAATTTCAAATCAAAATGAAGCATTATCTAAGACAAGATAAACAATTCATCAAGAATGATTTTATATATGAAGCCTATTTGCAAAATTAATACGAAAGTCTTACAATAGTAAACCACAAATCATATAAATTGCTATGTAAAATAGAAATTCCCCCAAAAAAAGATACAATTAAGCCATAATTACTTAGATTGGGCTACATCACCCTCCTAGGAAGAGATTTAACCTCTCATGGTCAAGCTTGCAGCCTCTGATGTTGCTGAAGAAGACCTATTTTCAAGCTCCATCTTTGCCCTCTTTTTCTTCTGTAATATTTCTCTCTCTAGGAATTTTCAATGTCAAAAACTAATCCCAACAACTTGGCTTGCTTTTCCCCTTTATTCCCTATCTCTAAGGCTTTCAAAATAAATCAAAAAGGCCTCACAATTTCGTGCAACAACCATTCATAACAACGCCAACAAGTCCGTATATTTATGGAGAAAGATTTAAATTAAAAAAACTGATTCTTCGTATGTGCTACCAGTAGCAGCTTGTCATGAAATCCCTCTGTATGCGGGCATGAGCACCTAGTGTGCGTAGTTTTGGCACCTTGCTACCAGTAGTAGCTTTGTGGTACCGGTAGCACTTTCGTGAGGCTACTAGATTTTAATTGAGAATGAAATTGGTAATGTGATACCTCTCGATTCTAGAGCCACAGGTGATCAAGTCTGAGCACATATCCGAGGGATATCAAATAATTAAAGTATTTAATCGAACATAGAATACAAAATGAATTAAGAATAAATAAATAACGGGAAAGAACTAAATGATAAATCATTAAATTAATAAATAATTAATCCTCTAAATACGTAACCAAAACTTCCGATATCATTACAACTCGGGAATCTATCTAGTGGACCCCTAATAAAATCCCAACTAAAATAACTGAAATGAAATAAAATCCATAACTAAGCATGAAGAAGAATCCTACGTAGAATCAGAAGAATGATATGGATTGTCTCTGCTTAGCACGAACAAGCTCTATGTCTGAAACTGACAAACACCTGAAAAATAATAGTGGGTCAGGCCCACGAACAAGTTCTTTCTACGACAACCCAAACAGAAACTGAAGAAACTATATATCTATAGCTAACCCATGCAATAACTACATAGTCTATAAATACATATACACACTAAAGGAACCTCACTAGACTATAGGGTTGCCTTAACATGAATAGTAGGCAACATACAAAATGCACATATAGTGGGGCATGAGTGCCTAGACCTACCATGGCACACAACTACACTATATCTAGCTACACATCCCTGACAATATACGCACCCTAACCACTAATATATATATATATATATATATATATATATCCTATCTAATATAAAATAATCCACTATATATCATCCAACTTGTTCAGTTAATCTGACATGAATATAAGTAGGACTTAATATTTTAGTTAATCCGTTCACTTATACAAAAATAGATAGGACTTAACTGATAAGTTAATTCGTCCCTAGAATGCCACCATCCCATACTGGTGCATTACATCCACACAATCCTATAGTTGATGTAACAATTAAAGAAGTACATCAAATAATCTAAAAATAAACATAATAACAGAATATCATGCTATCACAAAATAGGAATGACTTATAATTTATTTAAGCTTTCTACATTATATATCCTACACAAACTGAATCTTAAACATGCTGATATTTTATTATACAGTCAAGTAAGTATTCTCCAAATACAATTCATGCTACACATTTAATCTCAATTGTTAAAACAAATTAAAAAGATTAAATCCATTTATTCCTTAAAGAATTCAAATTGCATGCATTGTTACAATTAAGTCTGTTTAGAATTTATTTAAACTCATACCTAGTCCTTATTTAATGTTCAGGACCCCTCAAAACCAATTAAAAACAATTTACACGATGTTTACGAAAACTCCCAAGTAAGGCTCGAGCTTTCGTCCTAATTACTCGAGTTTTCTATCCATGGCTCGAGCTTCCTGTTTATGGCTCGAGCTTTATATTAATAGTTCGAGCTTTGCATCAATAGCTCGAGCTTTGTTTCCAAGGCTCAAGCACTGTAACAACGAATCGAACACTTTTTAGGCTATTCAACCCAAAACTTCTAATGTTAATTCGTTCTTTATTGTTAAGGATTTTAAGGCATGTTACTAAGTCCCATCAATACACAAGTATGAAATTACATCATTTAAAAAATGTAAAAATCTATAAAGAAACCAGATCAAATCCATGAATTTATTAATTCATACAATAAGAACAATTATGAACAAAATTCAAAAAACTTATATTCTAGATCAATTAAATTATAAAATTTCAGTTTTAATTATTCTTTAAACAACCCTAAAATTATACTAGAGATACATAATTCACAGATCAAAGGAGAAGTGTAGAACAAGAACTTGCCTTTAGGGATTTGATAAAAAATCCTTAACCTCCTCTTCCTCTTTCTTGTCATTCTTCTTCCTTCTTTCTTTCTCTAAAATATATTACATAATATATTTCTAGTCCCATTTTTCAACCCTATAGTTATATATTTATAGGCTAAATAATAACCCTACTCCTTTTCCCAAACTAAGTCATATTAATAAAGAAAATAATGA